CTGTGGTAGAATGTATTTCCATATTGGATTAGTTTATTTTAATAATTACACAGTGAAGCAGTATTAACAACTGGATGACACAGTTTCGAGCATAAATTATTGCTGCTGAAATTCATATCAGCTTTAGTCACACACTTTCACAATTTGTCTTTTATATGTTTTCCCTCTTTATCTTTCTCTCTTCCAGTCCCTTTGTTGTTTGTTGCCACTTTCCATACCTCCGGTATAGGCGTTGCGCCACTCCAACAGCACGTTTGTGGTTTCGAACCGATAAACAAAGCTTCAGTGATTAATCTCTCTCTCTCTCCACCTAACTATATCACTATTTAATTCACTCATCCTGTTGCACTCACCCTATTTTGTGATTGCATGCAAGTGGATGCAGTGCAGTGGCTGAGCTTTTTTCTAGGTTATTTAACTTAGCAGGGTCAATCATCATTCTAGGTCTAGCTTAATTTCTATATTTCAATAATCTAGTTGACCTCGATCTACTAGTTTGACCTATGTAATCGGACCCACTGCCATCACATGGTATTTGGTAAATTACATTATTCTTCTCACTTAATTGGATCTGTTCGGTCGTTGAGTCGACAACGTTTATCCCTGAGGGAGTTGGTTGGCTGTTTTAAATGCCACCCTAATTCCAGCCTCGTTGAGAATCGTACATAAGGCCTCTGACGTCACTTCTTTATACGGCAGTAGTATGAATGCTTGAATTCTATATTATTTTCGTCATTTTTACTGTTAATCTTAGTTTTTCTATGGTTCTTCATATATATTTGAATAAATTCTGGTGGGTAGTTATTCACTAGTAATACTTCCCGGTATTCGATAAAGTTAATAAAATTACTTATTCAGGGAGACAATCTAGTTTCGCAGTCAGTGTGGTATAACTCCACTCGATGGTGCTAATCGTCATTCCTGAAGGTCCTGACATGATAGTAGTTCGACAGAAACACTTTTCAATCAATTACGAATATATTTTATTTCAAACCACATGCTTTAATTATATTGAGTAAGTGACCAGTCATTCACAATGGACAGAAATCAAATTGCTGATTGATGTGGGCTTGACTGTGTTCATACTCGGAATTGACAAATTCAGTACGTTTTCCATCGTCAACTGGTTGTAAACCATTAAGTAATTGGAAAGTCAAAATGGTTTGACATCACGCCAAAGTCATGCAATATGCCTATAATATATGGCGAGATAAAATTGCATAAAGAGGGATATCCAATAAGACCGATTGTAGATTTTAGAAACACACCGACGTATATGCTATCGAGATTTCTCTCGACAATACTAAGACCAACAAGAGACAACTCAAAAGCTAGAATAGGAGATTCATTTGAATTAGTGAAGCGACTAAAATCCACTAAAATAGAGGAAGAGGAAATACTAGCCAGCTTTGATGTAAACAGTCTCTATACGAAAATACCCATTCAAATGGCCATGAATGCACTGAAAGAGAAACTAAAAGAAGATAATGGCCTAAAAGACAGAACACAGTTATCCGTAGAAGAAATACTAAAAGGGGTGAAATTCTGTCTGACAACAACATATTTCACATTCGAAGGGAAAATATACCAACAAAATGAAGTAGTAGCCATGGGATCGCCTATCTCACCAATAATAGCTGACATATACATGGATTATTGGGAAGAGAATGCTCTTAAACCATTCAGGTCATCACTAAAGTGTTGGTGGAGATATGTAGACGACACACTAGTAATAGTGAAAAAAACGATATTGAGAAACTCTTCTCACACATAAACAGCCATGTCGACTCAATAAAATTCACTATGGAAGTAGAGAATGAAATTGGGGAACTGCCTATGTTAGACTGCAAAATACAAAGAATAACAGATGGTAGCATTAAAACGACGCTATATAGAAAAACCACACACTCTGGAAGATTCCTTGATTATCACTCAGCTCATCCACTCACGGTAAAACGAGGATTAATACAAGGTCTTGCAGATAGAATACGTAGACTTACAACAACGCCAGAGGACCAATGTAAAGAAATAAACGTCCTATTCAAAATGCTACTCGAAAACAACTACCCAAAAGAATTTATAAAAGATAATATAAAAAAGAGAAAAAAGAGGGTAAAACCGGAGAATAACAAGATGGAAGAATGCAAAAAAACAGTCACAATACCATATAAAAATGGTACATCAGAGGCAATTCAAAGAAACCTCAAAAATATCGGCATTCACACAACTTTCAAACCGACAAATCTAATCAAAAATAAAATAAATCAACTGAAAGATCCCATAAAAATGATGGATAAAAACAACTTGATTTACAAAATATCTTGTGCTGACTGTCCAACTAAATATGTGGGGCAAACGTCCAGATCACTCAAAATAAGAGTGAATGAACATAAACGCCTAACCAAAGGTCAACCAACAGGAACACAAGCCTACAAGAATCTTGAAAAAATTCATCGATAGCTGCACATGCATGGGACAAAAACCACAATATCGATTGGAACAATGTGTGTATTCTAAAAGCTAACATGAACAAATGGAAAGAAAGACTTATAACAGAATCGATATTCATTAAAGTCACACCGGATACATGTAACAAGGGTGACTCAGTACAACAATCAACAACTTGGAATATAATTTTGAATACAAAAACATGAATGAACGTGGAATATAATTTAAATACAAAAAACATGAATGAGCAAAAATAATGAACTATATATATAGAGTACAAATGAAAAATGTGTGAACAAAACAATTCCAACAGTGGTGTGAACACGGGCAGTAATTTTGCTCGAAATATTACCAATAACAAAACTTATCATTGTGTGTAAACTATTGAAATATTTTTTTTCCTTCACGTTCCCCAGTGGAACATAGGGCTTCAAGCTAGTGGCTTGAAGTTTCTGTAGCAGTGTTTATTTTACAGGATGGGGTTGCTAGCCTCATGCCCAACCTTTCTTCTTCACCAGCATTATTTCTGGCTTAGCGAGGTAAAGGAGTGCGTCGGCCGGGGATCGAACCCCGGACCATGTGCATGGTCGGCGAGCGTCCTAACCGCTGTGCCACCGACGCAACTGTTGAAATATAATTATACTTTATTTCATTAAGAATATGTGCAGTAAGATTGAGTGTGAAGAGCAAACAAGCCATACATTTAAGTTTACCGATGCACATTTGTGCGTCGTAATTGCTTCCAGTTTCCTTATAATGTCAGCTCGTTTTGGCGTTTTAAATAGTGAGGGGTTGAAATTACAGCACAATTCATATCCCACAGTAGTTCACACTCTGACCATATTTCGATTAAATCTTCCTCTCACCTCCAAGATTCTTTCTCTGCTATGTCTTTTCTGTCCGGCTTATTATTGATTTCCTCTCCTCTTTGTTCCAACTGTTTTAGCTACATTGTGTTCCAATGCATATCCTTTATTCTAGCATCCTATCAATACTATCGAATTTTCCACTTATAGTAGTCTCACTTCGTCTAAGTGATCGTATCTCTTTTCTCAATTCATGACTCCACATCTTTCATTTATTATGCTGATTATTTCATGATAAACTATTCACCGCAGTCTTCCTATCTCCTATATACAGCATACTGGTTAGTACTACTTACCCAATAGACACGTTTTACAAACCTGAACTAGCTCCTCTATTCTCCTTCGCAAATCTTATGAAGCTACTCTCATACATCATGATCGTAGTCCTACATTTATCATTATTTTGTAATCGTATTCAGCTCAGCACGATTGTCACTCAAGCGCTAATTTTGCTGTCACCCTATACACCTATTCTATCATTCTACGTAGGAAGATATCCGCTTCATAACTCACTATTATTGCGACGAAAATATATTCATTTTTCGGACCATATTTTCAGTCACTTTATCGGCCCAACTTCGAATTCCGCTCAGCCGAACTCTTGTGTCTTCATTTTCAACTTCTTTTATCGTGCCTGGATTATGGTGGACAATCCTAGCATTCGATATTTTGTGAGAAGAGATTACTGTTAATAAGGGAATATCATTACATACTGAAGATCGTTCATCATATGTGAGAATGAAGGGACTTCATGGGTTGAGGTATTGTAGTCACCGGATATCACGAGGTTATTTACAAAGTGCTATGAAGCTAGTTAGTGGAGACAATGAACCTTACTCGCTCTGTTGTGAGTTGAGTCATAAGATATCAGCGACAAATATACAGAACAAAAAGCTGAATGATACAAAAGATGATAGTAGATACCATTTATGTTGCCGACGATTTCATCCTATGTTATGTTCCATATCAACCATTTGATTTATCAGAAATCTTTGATGAAGGCCGTGAAAACATTAATTCCACTGCATAGTATGGGGTGAATGTAAAATAGCACTTCCTGGATGTCAGTGTAAACTGAAAAACAAACGACACATTGCAAGGATCGATTAACCGATAAAGTACATGCAGTGGAATGTACTTGAGTTTGAACAGCTTTCGCCCGATAAAATACAATCAGGCACTAGTCAAAATATTATTTCACAAGGTGAGAATGATGCCTTCCTTTCCTGACAAATATGACGAGATTCAGATTTCTGGCATCGATGGTGATCAATGTTTGAGTTGGGTACTTTTATCAACCCTGTCTTTTATAGAATCACATAGGGTCCTGTCTTCACTACTTAATCTGACAAGAAGAATACAATGATAACTTCCAACCGTTTATTGGAAATTTTATTTTACTTCTACTCAAAAGTACACTTCAATGGATATCACCATAAAATTGAGAATATCTACTGACAACTAGATCCTTATAAAGACTCCAACTTTATCTTTCTATCAATGTGTATGCAAGCCGTAAAATGCTGGTCCATCCTGTCGTGTGATGTCGACTTCACTGAGATCAAATACAGACAGATCAATAGGATGAAAACTAGTCAGATTGAAATGAAATGATTTATTTGAAACTTACAAACTGAAACAAGTTCCCTTTATTTCGAAGTAAATTTCATTCATGTGTGAAATACATCAGTATTCATAAAAGATATCCTCTTCATAACCCTTGTCAGTGGAAGCTGTGTAGGGTCTTCGTGAGAAGTATTTACCACTGGAAATAAGGTTAAAAATTGAATATATTATTGATATTTGACAGTGTAATTTGCAATAAAAAAGTCTACTTTTTATACAATATTTACCATTTCTATAAGAATCTATATAACTGATGTCTCTTTCACATATTTCAAATCATGAATCACTATTGGTCCTGTATACTTTTAAATTCTCAGCTACTTGACTTCATCAACTTAATATTCCAAAAATGTTCATTCAGACATCCATAAAAACAAAATAATCGAGCAAAGAATATTCTTTTCGATAAATTCCTCTTCCAGGCTCTACAATTATATATATATGTTTTTATACACAGAATACTTTAAATTAGTAGTAAATAACAATATTAGCTAAAGCAATAAGAAGACGTAATTTGTCTGAATCGTGTAATGTATTTGCGCAACACATTTCGAACAATCTGATCACACACGGACTTGTCATAGGAATATATATGAAATTAATAAAGAGGTAAGAGGTGAGAAAAATAGACTTAGGTCAAGTTTAAAGGACATATTCAAGGTCAAAGTAACAATGAAGACCACTAAACCAAATAACAGAGGCAATAGTACATCTGCTATGGTGTCAAAACAAAATTTACCAAGGAAGGTTTAATGTGATGACAAATTGTTTTTGAACGCATAAAGGTGGCTTAAACTTTCTAATTGCTAGGGCTTCCCCAAACTTTAGGATACGCCCCAAACACGTTTTATAGATAGGTTTAAAAGATCTGTTAACGTCAATTTTATGTCCTGTTTCTATAATATGTTTCGCAATAGAGGAGCTAGGTCTCCTGTTCTCACCATTAATGGGTTCTGAAGATTTCATTTGTTTCTGGAGCCATTTAGGAATATGCTCTGAAGCCCTTACTTGCAGAGATCGATGAGTCCTCCCTATGTATGTGTGTCCACACGTTCATTCAAACTGGTAAATACAGTGGGATGTGACGTCATTTTTCTCATGTTCGAAGGGCTTAGATAGATATATTGGCCTAACATTCTCTATTATTATGATATTGGCTGCATAAAAAGTCTTTTTGACAGCAGCGTTCAGTCTTTGTCTAGTTATCAAGCTGCTTTGATGCCCCATATAGGGTAGCTTGATGTATACGTCTTTCTTAGGGGCGAGTTGGAGAGTGGGTCTTGGTGTTCTGACTACTTTATATCTCCTGATGAACTTGTCTGGATAATTGTTATCAACCAGAGTTTGTGTCAATTTTCCTTCTTCCGCATCAAGTGTGTCTTCAGTGCATATTCGTTGGATTCTACTGAAGAGGCAACTTACTAAGGCTCTTTTGTATCGAACATGGCAAAAACTGTGGTAATTAAGATACTGTCCTGTCCAGGCAGGTTTTCTATAAATAGATATTTTTATCGACCCATCAAGACGTCGACTAAGCAGTTATTTTCCTCTTCTACAGATGTAAGTGATAAGCTATTTTGGACTTCATTCATTCGATTTAAAATTGGGGTAGCAGAACAAGACTTATCACTGATGATTACAATATCGTCTACATACCTTCTATAAAGTGGCACATTTTCGATTAAATCCTCCGATAAATTCTCAGTGTGCGACATATAAATATCTGCTAAAAGGGGCCCTAACGGACTTCCCATAGCAACACCATCAACTTGGCGGAAACAATCGCCTTCAAATGTAAACCTAACATTGTTAGTACATAGAAGTAATAAATCCCTTAAATAAGATATAGAGAACGGGATGAAAAAATTGTTTGTGGAAATATAATCACACAAAATGTCAACTGTTTTGAGCAAAGGCACATTAGTGAATAACGAGTTTACATCAAAAGAGTACATATTCTTATTCATAATATTAATATTACTATTGTCAAGAAAATCAATCAATTCAAATGTATCTTTTAACACATAACCTATCTATAAAACGTGTTTGGGGCGTATCCTAAAGTTTGTGGAAGCCCTAGCAATTAGAAAGTTTAAGCCACCTTTATGCGTTCAAAAACAATTTGTCATCACATTAAACCTTCCTTGGTAAATTTTGTTTTGACACCATAGCAGATGTACTATTGCCTCTGTTATTTGGTTTAGTGGTCTTCATTGTTACTTTGACCTTGAATATGTCCTTTAAACTTGACCTAAGTCTATTTTTCTCACCTCTTACCTCTTTATTAATTTCATATATATTCCTATGACAAGTCCGTGTGTCACAGATCAGATTGTTCGAAATGTGTTGCGCAAATACATTACACGATTCAGACAAATTACGTCTTCTTATTGCTTTATCTAAACAATATTAGCGTTTTTTTTTTAAATGATATCGATTTGTAATATTCATCGAAATAGTGAGGTTGTTTTTACAACTAAATCCCTGATTGGTAATCATTTTTATTCGTGTTGTTTATTTCTATCAAATGTACCATACTGCACAGAGCGCAGTCTTCCTCTATGATGGGCTAATTGTCAACGACAGATTATTGTGGTTGATAGTCGTTGTATGCCACTTTATAAACTGGGCCAGTTCTTTATACTGAAAAACAATATCGTTTTGTTTTTCATTCATTGTGAAATACAAAAAACCTTCATTATAATGAATATCATATACCCAATGCCTAAATTTTTTCAAACTGTTAAAAGTGGACCAGTTCTTGCTTTCATGTGATTTTCGTATTTGTGTGGGTCATTCGATTTACTGATTTCGAAAGCATTTCAACACAGACGCATTTCAAGTGATATAAGTGACACGATGGAATGCATAATTGTCCATTGAATTTTATTGGTTTTATTTCAACAGTGGAGCATTCACCACATATTCCATCTCCTCCACATGAGACCCACTCACTGATACACTCTTATCATGGAAAGTGAGTGTGCTGCCGAGATCAGAGGAAATCAGATTATATTTATGGGAATATACGACGTCTCACTCACCACACGTCATGAAACAGGTAGAGATTAAAAACGCGTAAATACAATTTCAACTTGGTCGTTCACTTCATCCCAGCAGGAAGTCAGAACAAATGAGTCGATTTTAAAGATTAGTGCCAAGAGCACTGACCCAAAGTCATATGTGATCCAGTAAGCATTGGTACTCAATTTGAACGCAGTTATCCACAAGCTGATTACTTCAGAAGTGTTTTCAGTGGATAAATATATTCACTTCAATGAAACTTAAGTAATCACCCATTCATGGCACTGTATTCCATGAAACAAGCGGAGAGTGAAATTTACGAACTGTACACCACGTAAATGAGAAGATCCAATTTGTTTTACATCAACCTACGTTTCTTTTATCAGGCTCACATAGTTTGATGACTATTTCGTATTGGAATAAGACATCTTAATGAGGTATTTCTCACAGTTTCGTTGTACTGAACCTCAACATTAAAATTTTACAAGAACGTAAAGTCGCGAAATTGTAAACATAAGAAATATAGACAACTCAATTTTTGCAGAAAATGGTCATGGGAGCACAAATCATTCCCTAACTCGACATACCCGGGTCCATAAGTACACACGACAACAATGTTATAAGGTGCTTCGAAGTTATTGCATTTCTTATACGCACATCCAACCTCCGCTGTTTCTGAAAACACCACCTGTGAAATGTGGATACCATAATAAGAAAGCTTATGTGAGTGTAGCCTAACAATATCGGTTATTTACTGTAAAATAACTCAAAAAATGAGAAAATTAACCGACTGACAAGTGCTTAGTTTGTCAGTTTTCTGAGGCACTTATTCACAAAAATAATCACTAAAATTTGAGTACTTGAAACAAGTCCTGATTTCAGTAGAATACAACAGATAAATCGGTCGATAAATGGGTGATGCTGAGTAAGAAATAACACAGTTTAGACGGTGAAAGCAATGCTTCATAAACTCATAAAGCCTTCTTTGACACTCCTTCACGAATGGAGAAAGTCTGCCTCGCTGCTTCGAAACTAATTCAGTCAAATCTTCTATGGAAAGAATTTAAAAACTGAACGTATGATGAACAAATTCACAAAAGGAATCTACTACTGATTCGAATAGGAGGCGTGACGGTTGTCTCGTGTTACTACGCAGTCTGAAGTATTGTTTGCAGCTTAGATAAACTCTCAGTGTGAACAATGACATGCAACGTATGAAAGCCTTGACTTACTGTGTCAAAACCTCTCTCACGAGGTGCTATATTTTGTTGTTTTATTATATCGGTCATTCATTGTGTGCAAATGTTTGAATCCATCTATTCCGCTTAGTTCGTACTAAATGCCTCATTTAGGATAATGGTGGGGATTGAGTTCCTAAATTATACTCCGCTAAATACTTGACATGCTGAGATGCTATTTCTCGAGTGTGGTTCCTGTTCACGGTATCCCAATTTCTAAAAGAGGAGTAAACTGGAAATTACAGACTGTAATCTTTGTGGAAATATCTCAGTCCGCTTTTGTATTTTCAGCTAACGGTTAACGTCTCCTAAATCCCAAGTTTGTCATACAACTCCGAATACCTCCTTTCTAATAACTTCCACGAAATCTTCGAATGGTATTACATATGCCGATATCTGTTGAAGTATTTATCTCCATCCAATGTGATTCATTTTCAAATCTCTGACGTTTGGTCACGATGAGAATGATGGTAATGGCTTCATTCCAGACAGTAGTTTTGATGTCAGATTGAATTTTCACCATATAATACAATATTGCATGTAATTTCCCCTTTACATCACATTTTACGAAGGAAAAAATTAAGAGGAAATTTACATTGATCATAATGTGAATAGAGAATTTAATGGAGCATTATAATTCAGTGGAAATAGTGACAACAATATTCTAATGAAATAAGGATTAAAAGAGGCCGTTTACTAGGCGTTTCTCGTTAAATCATCAGTGTCATGCCTAACACATTTTTCACCACCTAGAATGCGTGCTAAATAACGTATCATTGAAATTTTATATTAAGTCGTCCAAGCATAAAGTCGTTTAAAACTGCTTCTCGTCCCGTCTGATGAGAAGGAAGGCAAGAGTTGTTTACAAAGAAGATGCTGATAGTCTGACAAGACGATACTCGCCAATTTCTTGCATGAGTTCAAGTGTCATGTGGTGAGCACGACAATGTCATTCATTTCTAACTGTGTCACACACTACGGAGTTTTACTTCTACATGTGTCGGTGTGAATTTCATTTGTCTGTTCAATCCACTCTAAACTGACTTACCTGTTTGTAATTTGCGCATCTTCTGTTTTCTTTACATTTGTTTGCTTTGAAGTTGTAGTTTAAATGTTCGAGAAACCAGAGGGCCACAGCACTGTTAATGAAAGGAACATGTGAGGAGGTAATCATCAATACACAGAAATATTGAATCTCCTTGAAAAATTTCAGTTGTTTTTATGAACTTGATCATGATCATCTTACAGATATTTCTCACCTCGTAAACTCTTTCGGTTTGGGTTTCAAGCAAGTGTATTTTTAATTGGCAGTTGTTAAAATAGGTTTAGTATCCCATCAGGTATTTAAGGTACTCGTCTGATGCAATGGACTATACTCCGATTAGAATGAAGGAAAAGAGACGATGTGTCTTCTCTTGAAATTATTATTTGTAAGCTGAATACCTAAGGAAAATGATTCTCACTCAACTGTTGAATGAATGCGTATGAAATATCTCAACATGCAGATTATTCTTCATACTACGTGGAATTACAGTCAGACAGTCATTCTTCTATTCTAGAAATGATTTGACGGAACAGACATAAATATTTCGGATGGAGTGGAAGTCGTTTCAAATTTGCTGAATTAATGAAATCAGTATGCACAGTGGAATATGCAAATAGAAAATGTCCAATTAAGATTCTTCTGTCATTAATGAATGAATGGGTATTGTATTGAATTCACTCTGGATGTCATACAGGAACGAAATCATCTGAAATTGTGATATGAAAATCAAGGATCACTTCGCAGATGTTCCATTTTGCTTCAGTGAACATAATTTTATTTGTGTAAGAGTGAATATAAGTCATCTGATACTTTGATACATTATAAGGATCATAGTACATTACCTAAACAACCTGATTCCACTTGATTCCCCGTCCACTGTTTAGAATATACAACTTGACTGGGCTAATTATGTGTTCAGTATCTACTTCCAACAGATGTAGTGGTAAGCTGTTATAGGTTTTATGATTTACACCTGTATCTAAATCTACATGAGCAGTAGAACTCGTTGACAAGTGCTAATGAACTTATTGTCTGTTGCCGATACTTGACTTTCAATGTGGTGAGTGCTTTCCTTGAGAAACGGATGACAAATTTAATTACTGTAAGTGTTTTTTTCGAGTATTTAATCTTAAATCTGTTAATACTATTGATATAATATCTATATGTTAGATAACTTACTCTCTCACATTCGAAGTAACAGCGACATTCTGACCGACATAATTCCAAGAAGTTTTACCTCTCATTGTTATGTTGCTAGGATAAGGTTGACATGTTGACGCCCAATTCTTAGAAATGTCAGCCAATTCGTAAGACCATCTCTGGAAAAAAATGACGTCGACATGATTAGTGTTGAGTGAATTAATTTCATTTGAAGTAAGTTATGAAACTGATGAGTATGATACACAGCTCTTTATGTATACACATATGTACACTTACGAGTTTCGGCATTTCTATCGCACGTGGTTGACCTAGGAATCTTCCATACTTTAGTCTTTGTCGATATGCATTGTGTAACGCCAGTATTTCAGAGTCTTCCACAGTCCAACCTTTATCAACATCTGCTTTAATGTTTATCAAGGAGATGATAGTTAAAATGAACCATTGGATTAATTGCATTTTGAATTGTGATGGTTGTTTATCTCAGATGTGTTTACCCATTCAATTTATGTGTTTGTTGAGTGATAATCTGACCAATCGAATACACACAGACTATTGTATTTCTTTGCTAAGCACTATGATAGTGAAAGTGCGTAAACCGTTCGTCACTACTGTGTTTATTTACACAAATACTATTAATATCTCCTTAGGTTCCCGATGGAATACAGGTCTTCAACAGTACATACCGATTTCATCCCCTTTTCTATATTTCTCTTTATCTGGACCTACGATAGACAATATACACTCTCATCTCCTCCTCACATGCTCTCCTTCATATCAATCTCTGACTCCCAAGTCATCGTTTCCATTTCGGGCCCCACTCGACTGCTTGTCTGGCGCCTGGTTTCACTCAGCAGTCTCCTCACAGTGTTTCCAAACCATCTCCATTTTCTTCGACATAATTTTTGGGTAATTGGTTTCCGATTGCCGAAATTCCTCTTCTCTTATCTTGAGTATCTAGCTAAGGCCTTAGTTGATAAAAGTCTGTGGCCTGTTGGAAATACTTTCCAGAGCACCTACGCATGTTTCTGAACCATATCGAATCAGTGACACAAGCGTTGAAAACATGAATATTACTCCTAATGCTAAAGGCAGCAAATATCCACATACATTTCAAACTTATGAAGGAAGATCTGTAATGCTTTTCTCATCGCATCATGACTTCAACATCCTCATCTGAAGTCAAGCTAGAGAGTTGAACTCCATTGTATACTCTTTCCAATGAGGGTGATTAGAGTTGCGATTTGATCTGCACATGATTTCCTCTTCCTGAATCGGACTTGTTCCGAGTGGAGTTTTGCATCCAGAAAATGTTTAATTCTGTCCAGAATGACACGAATTAATATTTTGCTTGGCGTGGGCAGAAGGATGATTAAAAGTCAGTTTTGCAAAGGATAAAGTTGCCCATCTTTAGTAGTTTGACAAACTTAACTTCCAAACGTTGTGAAATCGTGGCATGAGAACACCAGCGATAGCCACCGTTTTCAGTGCTTCTGGAGAAATCTCGGCCAGTCAAACCGCCTAGCTTCCACTAAATATGTGACAGTTTTGTGCCTGCTGTTAATCTTACCTAAGTGCGAATTGTAAATAGCGGGAGGTTTAGGAGTCATTTGAAACGATCAGCCAATGGATTTATTTGTTTGTCCTATTTGGTAATAAGTTTCCCTCCACTATCTTCTATCGGTTCCATCTCTCTTTACCTATCCACAGATAGAGACCTGGTTATCTGATATTGTCATTTGAGGTCCCTCTTGCCTGCAGCCTGTTCAATTTCGGTTCATAGTGTATCGTAAAATTGCCTTTTGACTTTATCAGCACTCTTTCCACTCCTTTATTCAATGCGTTGTTATTTGCTGCAGATTCTCCTTTCCTTGTCCATCTTTTCACTGTTTCGTCTTCTCTTTCACTACTTCCTGTCCCGCCATAACTGTGGTTCTTATCATTATCTTTCGGAGTCCATGGATGATCTGGAATACCTCGGTGTCAAGTGATTCTTAGGGATTCGGTAGACTAAATGTCACCCTTCAAAACATGTACTTAACCCACTGGCTCCCTTTTATGACGGTTATTGGATCATATTTTGCCACACTTTAGCTTTGGATACAGCTGCATCGTCTTGGTGATATGTTGTCTCATGGACATTTGACTTAGTCATGGGATGGCCATGTAAATATTTTGTTGGTAGTGGATGACTGGATGAGTTTCATCTTTCGTTATCGCCGTTATTTCTTTAAACTACTATTATCACCACCACATAATAATAATAAAAGTATATTCATTACTCAAACTCCCACAACTCTAAATACTACTACTAATAATGTCAATGGGGCGTCGGTGGAACAGCGGTTAGGACGCTCGCCGACCATGTACATGGTCCGAAGTTCGATCCCCGGCCGACGCACGCCTCGCTAAGCCAGTAATAAATAATCTGGTAAGGACGAAAGGTTGGGTATGAGGCTAGCAACCCTATCCTGTAAAAATAAACACTGCTACAGAAACTTCAAGCCTCTAGCTTGAAGCCCTATGTTCCATTGGGAACGTGAAGGAATAAAAAAAATAATAATGTCAACAGTAATACGAACGATTGTTATCAGAGTTACCTCTGTCTAAGACTCATGTCAGTGAAGTGACGGTGACTGGTAGATGAAATTCCTAAATTCCTGGCGTAAATACTTTCACTTTTTTCGAGTACTTATCTACGTCAGAAGAAACCAGATATAGTCAGAATTTGATCAGGGGCACAACTTAGGTGTTTCTCTCACGAAACTGGCTCAACATCCCAAGATAATCAACTCAGTTATCAAATGAACTCGAAAATGCTGAAGACATTGGAAACATGAAAAGATGAGCAACTGAATAAGAGCAGCTATTGGAAATGAACACCTAAGAGAATAATGCTAATATGTTAAATTCATTGGATGTTGAATATGCGTTTCATTGGATCCTCCCACATGGATGAAGTTAAATCTACATCCCGAAACCAATACACAACGATGAAGATCTTGTGCATTTCAGCGATGGCCTTTGCTGATGCAACACATCAAAATGAATGTTAGTCTTCATGATATGCAGATGCAACTTGTTGATGATTTTGGGTAACACTGTTCCTACCTACTACTACTACTACTACTACTACTGAAGTTACAGCACCTCTTGAGAAAGTAATGTCGTGATTAGCACAAGAATCTTTATAAAAATATAGGCTGGCCTAATATGACTAATATCAATTTTCGGCGAACTGATATCCAAAATCAGAGACTAACTAAGTCCACCAATCTAATGATTCTAAATATACTCAAAATAAACGCTTATTCTACTGATATCATCATACGGTCAACCCGAAACATGTGTCCGAGAAATACAGTGAGAGGTGAAATAAAACTAAACACTAAAAATTCTCTGCATTGCAGTTAAGTGGATTGTTTCACATTAGATTGCTTCAACATTAATGTGTAAATTTGTTTTAGAGATCATTTTAATTGAATGAAGCCATGAATTCGAGATTATGATTCGGAATCTGTTACCTTCTAGGTGTTCTCTCCCATCCCTTTACACTAAGATTAATTTGCTAAGCACAATATTTGGTAGATGCTTATAACAGCAGAAATACTAATGTTTGTAACTGCTGCCATTCTAAGGGAGTATTCCAGGCTGTGTACAAGTGGTCACAAATTTAACTTGACATCATTTGTGTAGTCGATATTTAACCTGAAAGGCTGACAACCAACAGCTGTGGTGTTACCCCCACCAGCTTAGATGGTGAACTGTGTTTGTGAAATTTGAAGCCGGAGGAAACGCTGGTGGAGGACCTAACTATTCTGATGTGCAAGTATATTGAATGTGGTGAGTATAGGGGTGAAAGACTTGTCAGACCATCTAGTAGCTGGTTCCCGCCGAAGGTTCCATCAGGATAGCTGGCATCCTAACAAATAAACGGTTTCCGCGTACGCTTATCTGAAAACATTGCACTATTTCATCATTTGGTATTGAACTCGAAATGAATGAGAATGACAAAGTTTTGGAATATATGTAAATATCCTACTGAATAGTATAAGTATTAAAAGCCACCTTGTCGTCAAATAGTTATGTAAACCATTTCAACTGGAATAGCCTCACATACTAAATAACCGATTTCCGTTATATCAACCACCCTGGTGGCTAGTCTTTGCTAGTGTGATTATCAAGCTAGAAAACAGGAACTATTCACAACAGTTGACATGTAATTTAATATCAGTGATCTAATTCTAAGGATTTTTGAAGTATCCCTTCTTTGAATTTGTACTTATCAATTTCAAACATTCGTGTGTCTGATCATTCCACTTGCATTATTTCTAGATAGCTCTTGTTAATTATATTGAATGTTGCTAAACATATTCACGAAAGCACATATTGTCTTGTAACCTTATCTGTTTAACATACATACATGATGAGGTGTTAGTGCTATCTAAATATTATGCAACATTTTATTGTTTGTGCGTGTAATTCGATATTGTTAACATAAGAAACTGAGATTTGTTGAATTAATGTTTAGAACAACACATTTAAGCGAACAATATTAATTTCAATTAGATCTCATCAGACTTAACTCTAATATATATAAGTTTACAAATAAAAATTCAAATATAAACCAATCATGGTGTTTTGTCTATAGGATAATACGATGATGACTATAAATTGTGCAATTAATCATAATAGTAGTAATGATAACAATAATAATAGTAATACTAAAAATGGTATTATCAATAATAAGGATGGAAATGTGAGGGAATCTGTGATAACACGAATAATGAAAAAACAGTATGATTGAACAAACAACTGTTCAGGTGGAAGTAGTCTATAAAGGCTGGTAACAACAAATGAACCGATTAAGTGATGCTAGATTGTAAGGGAAGTAAATGAAAAAGATTTTAATGAAGATAAGATTAAGGGATGATAAGAAAGGGGTTGAAAATATAAACAAAGGGTGGTGTAGAAGTCATTAGTTGGTTATATCTTAATAGGCCAAGGGAGGGATAATGGCGGTACGAACTTTTTTTGAATACATAGTTTAGGTTTAATAGTTCGAATGCCTATCGCCTCAGCTGTTCATTTGTTTTTACCAGCCTTTATAGACTACTTCCACCTGAACAGTTGTTTGTTCAATCATACTGTTTTTTCATTATTCGTGTTATCACAGATTCCCTCACATTTCCATCCTTATTATTGATAATACCATTTTTAGTATTACTATTATTATTATTATCATTACTACTATTATGATTAGTTGCACAATTTATAGTCACCATCGTATTATCCTATAGACAAAACACCATGATTGGTTTCTATTTGAATTTTGATTTGTAAACTTATATGTATTAGAGTTAAGTCTGATGAGATCTAATTGAAAACAATATTGTTCGCTTAAATGTGTTGTTCTCAATTTTACTATGGAAATTAATGTTTGCCATAGAATCGATTTC